TATGAATTGTCTTTCTACTTCTGTTTTACAATAGCCTATGCTAAACTTGTCTGTGATTCGTGTTGGTTTAGATATGCGTAAAGTACCTGACGACCCATATGGTTTACATTATTCCGATCATGAAGGTGTAGCTGCAAGTTTTACTATTACAAGATTACGCAGTCCCGTCAAACCAGGTATAAGTTTCTACTTGATTATCTGTATTTGTTCTTATCTTATAGTTATGTGATTAGAATTACAATCATCATGACTGTCCGTAGATTGTATTCGTAAATTCATTTTGTGAATTGAATCAATTTACACAATATCTCATCAACTAAACTATAGTATTCAACCCACTAAGATCATGATGTACATGGAGTTTTAGTGTGTTGTGACTGTTGGAGTCGGAAGTTAATCAGTTGTCACTAATGGCGTTGGATGATTGTTTCGTCTTATCTCAATGTGATTGAAGTTGGTATTGTGCCATAGGACGTCGAGCTAGCGGTTAGTCGAATATTCACCACTAGACTTGAAGATCATGGGTTTGATCTCTGATGGTGTCGTGTACATGCACTACTGAATTCTATACTAAGATGAAATAGTTTTCCAGTGCTTCATGGTTTTCAGTAGTTTTTTAATTGAGATCAACCCGTGACAAATGTAGCTTGCAAACTGAAGCGATCTCCACAAAACCTCTTTAAATGACAATAGTCATCTAAGCTAATTAAAATTCAAAACATTCTTCTAGTGCTTGCCATCCATTTTGTACAAAATTTAAGTTATTCATAATAATGTTCAGTTTGACTTTATGATTTATATAGCAGGCAGTAGCTTTGGCCGATGCTGATTGCTCAATAAAATTTAATTAGGTACGAGTTAGATTTTCTGATGTATGTAATGTAGATGCTGTTAAAAAGAGTATAAATTATAGCATAGGTTGTTTTTTCCGGTGACACTTTAATAATCATCAGTTGTAGATAGTTTAAGAGAGCAATATGCATATAGTTTTGTTTATATCCGTGAAATTTCTGGCATGTGGTGGGACTACTAAACGGACCACGTGTATGTTAGATTTGTGATATGACTCTGTTATATAAAAAATAAATTTATGGTATCGATATTTGCTAATTTTTCAAGATTTCTTGGTTAGGCTCTTAGAGAACATGGAGCTCAATGACTTGAAACATGGCTCACAGCAGAGACTAATGGCGAGTCCCCTGTAGTTTCTCAATACACTCTTTGTAAATTTTAGGTGAACTCCCCTATCTGAAATAAAATTATCTTGGTTGAATTGTTTGCTTCACTTGTACATTTTGGTAATCAATCTTTTCATTTGTTGATATGTGACGTTTCTTTGTTCTATTTCATCATAATATTTACATTCAGCTTTGTGAATGTAATTCTATTTTTGACATGTTTCTCCTGATGATCGGGGTTTAGACAAGGCTAGAGTAAAATATTCGCCATTAATGCCATGTATAATCGTTGCACTAAATTGCAAATTGTTTGAAGTGGAAATGTGCATCAATCGACGCCTGCCCAGTAGTTCTAAAGGTTAAGTGTTCATTGCGAGATCTGAAGATCGTGAGTTTGATGACTGTTGAGGTCACGGCTACTCATTGACAAGAAGCCTTTTATAGCCCATTGATCTCATTCCAATGTTGATAGACGTATGAATATTCTATGAACATAAATCTTTCATTTAACTTCGTATATTACCCAGGCTAATCATATTTGTTTGACGGCAGTAATAAGAAGCCAAATACAGATTGGATTGGATGAATTTATTTCATACACTCGTTTATCCAGACGGACATTCAGAATAGGTGGCGATAAAGAGAAGCGGAGCGGCGAAGGCCAGTGAGCCAACTTGTTTTGATAAAGCGTGACTTAATATTTATAGCCAGACAAAAGTAATACGAAGAGTACGGTAAGTAATTCATACACATGCACTCATAAAAAAACAGTCAAAGTTAGTAAGTAAATAATTAACAACATCAAAATTTAATTCAAGAAGAACGAATAAACTGGTCTATACGGAAGCTAGAATAACTCATATGAACTTGATATATTACTAGACACTACAAGTCCATTCAGAGGAAAAAGCAGCGCTCCATCGCTTTTTCATTTTCAGATGTACCTTATCTGAGAGCAATCTGTGGTGAATATTTTCTACATAAATAAACGAGGTTAGGTATAATTTAATAAAACTGTAGACTTTCATTTGATTAATAAGTAAAGCATGTTGTGGAGTAGACTTTAGTATTTAAGATTAGTATGGTAATAACAACGGTCTGTAAATTCATTAGTTGATTTTTAAAAATATATGAAGTATATGTCACTTTGCTGGCATTTGGAGATTTTATGAATCGATTCTTGTCAATGCACTATATTCTAATTTGAAGTCCATTACAACTGAAGCAAATTTTCAGTATACGGTTGTGGAGATTGTTGGATTTCATTGAAATGATGATCTGATTTAAGTCAGACCATTATTGAAAACGTGGAAGCATTGGACGGCTATTCCATCCCAATGTGGAACTGCTCAGCAGTACGCATCTACGATCCTGCGCGCAGGACTGCGAGCAAAGCTAATATCATTGTAGAATATTATTTGTTATTCACTCAAGGGTTCATACTTTCTTGTCTGTATTATGTATTTACAATGGATCATTCTTTGTTGGTATGTGTAAATCCTGAGCGGATTGGCCTAATACATCCATTTTTTACTGAATTTGTATAGTTACACATGTTTCATTCTTTTTCACACAACCTAGTGACTGTCTAGACCCTATAACTCAATGAATACCACGAGCGTTTGAAACGTAAATTACTGAGTTGGAATAACAATGTAAGGATCTATACTGAGTACTTTACGGATGGATTCGGCTGATGAGTTCTAAAGAGAGCGAAATTCACATCACGAATTCAATTACTAACCATAGTCCAACATTAATGTCTAGATGTTTTTGTTTACAGACAAAATGAATCTACATCATATTAATAATTATTAAATATATTTAAAGATAATACAGTACTGATTCATCTCCTTTTTATTTTATTCGGTAGAAGGTGAAACAATGTCAGCAAATGAATTAAATCGATTACGTGATTTATTATTAGATATAGATCAACAATTAACTCGTGGCTTAAATCAATGTATACATGGTCGTTTATTGCATTTAACATGGGCAATAATTATAACATTTTTATTAGTTATCTTAATATTAATATATCCAACTGATAGGTTTACATCAATTATAAAATGTTTATTTGAAATAATACTTGGTATTATATTATTTACATTAATATGGGGTTCATTAATTGGTAGAACTATAGAAAAATCCGGTTTAAAAAATGCAAGACATTCAATTTTAACATTATCTTCAAGATTAGATAATTCAAATGACTTTACATTAATTAAATAATAATTTACACCCTTTCGTTTTTTGTGTTCTTTCCTTATATATATATTTTTCCCTCCTGTGCTTGTTTTCTCTTTTTTTTTCTCTAAAATGAATTTGAATAGAATGTGTTTAGACAAAGAAATGTATACCATCGAATTATTATTTCTTTCTACTTAATCAACTCATTGTGTGATTGTAATGATGATGTTAAGATTGATTTCTCTCTGTCTTTTTCTTTCTCACACACACATACACGATTTTCTTGTTCATTCTCTTTTAATTACAAACAATTTACGGAAATAATAAACTGTCATCGTATATCTCATATACCAATTACTCATAATTGCTATATTTAACGATGGTAAAATTATTGTATTTGACACTGTGTGTGTATTTTAATTTTCTTTGTAAATATTTAGCATGTAGGGGTTTGTTCGGTGTACCTATATAGACATATGCAGTATTTGAATGCATATTATCATAGTTGTAACTTTCATTTGTCTCTTGTTTTTATATTGTACATGTATACAGATTTATGTTTAATTTGAGAAAAAAATATTTACTCATTTATTAATCAACTACTCAATATCTCCATGTGTTTCTTTTTATTTCATAAAAATAAATGTAGTTATAATTTATTTCATGAAAATAATAAGTAAATTATGATTAATTTAATCGAATAAAAATTTTTTTTTGATTTTTTTATTCCCCCCTCCCGCCTCTTAGATGGTTAACAATAAGAGTAATTAATTATATTTGACCTATTGTTATTATTTTCAAAATGAACGAATAATGAAATAATCTTTGTAAGGAAGAAATACAAAAATTTATTATTATTTTTTAATCACCCAATTTATCAGTGATCGATTAAGTAAACAGTAAACGGTTTAAGATTTAGTATATATAATATGTCGTTATATCATTAGAACGTATTTTGAACCATGTTACGTAACATTTTCAAACAAAATTTGTAATACTTTGTATAAAGTAAGTTGGAAACTTTGCAACTATTTGTATGGTTCAGAGTAACAAGTTAGTTATTTATATTGATTGATACTGTGATTTGACTGTCTCGAGAATTATGAAATCTAAACATTTCATTGTTTTATGAGTCTGATACTTTAATTTTAAGAATATTCACTTGACGGTTATATATATTTTGTTATGTGTAATTTCTTTATTTTGCCTGGTTTTTCTGATAAGAATATCTCCACTAATTCTCATATCATGATATAACTAGGTGGGAATTTTAAGTCGCATAATACTTTTATCCTAGATGTCAAGTTGTTTCTGCTTATGTCCCTATACACAAACGTAGTTGTATCAATCAAACCAACAGATAATACGTATCTTCTACAGACCAAGAGGTTTTTTAATTAGAGTAGATAATTGAACCAGGGGATATAAATAATAAGGAAAATAAATCATTCATTATCGCTAAATTTAAAATAATAAAAGCAACTGAGAACAGTCCAATACTATAAGCAGAAAATTTCTCAGTTACAAGACGAATTGATAAATGGAGAGAGAAAGCTAGTGGAAATTGATGTAAACTTGAAAATATGTCAAAAATCATGCAAGGTTGCCTTTTTAAAGATGTCTAGTAATTCGTAGATGTATAACGTAAAATCAGTTACATTGCTTTAAAATAAAGGCTCGTGGCTTCTAGAATGTTTACCATAAGGAAACAGGGAATCAATATTTCAACTGTTTGACGCCCTTGGTTAGCTAAATCATTGGGTTTCTGTTCGACTTAGATCAACGATGCGTATTAAATAGGTTTCTTAAATTAGTTAACCGTTGAAAAATTTCATGTCTGGTGTGCCGTTCCAAAGGAGTCTCTACCGGTGGATGTCATCCCCAAACAATGCAGTTAAAATAAGGTGACTACTAGTCTTTGACATTTGTATCCTGTAAAAATTTTTATTATCTCCTTATAATTATGTTGCGCATAACGTTTTACTCTTTTTTTCCTCATTGAATATACATAAAACTAAAACTAATTTTATTTATTGAAGAATAATCTTTCAAGCCTATAACATTGCAATCTCAACGACCTTACTTGATTGATCTGATTTGAAAACTAGTTAGCGAAATTAGAATTTTAGATTAATCGTAGATTTGTTTTTCTACTCACTGATTATTCAAATCAAACTAATATACCATTTGACAAAAATTATTATATTAAATGCAATTCATTTTCTGCATCAATTTACTTATAAATTTAAACAAAACTAACGAGTAAAACATTGAGTAGTCTAGAACCATATGATTTTGTTTTGTTTAATGAAACTAATCATATGAACACCATTAACAACAAAAAAACTTAATTGTTTGTTCATTTATAAAACATAAACAAAATGAAAAATAGTTAATGAATCCCATTTTCTTTATGACAATACATTAATCTTGTTTGACAAATAATTACATAAAGCTCTTTTTAAAATTCAACAATAAAGTTTCATCTAATTTGTTGTCAATGATCATGTATTATATATATATATATATATATATATATATATATATAATATATATAACTGAAGAAACTTCAAGGTCATTGAAAAATTAACCGTTTGAAACAAATTTCGTAATTTAATTAACAAATTTAATAAATAAATAAACAAATAATACATTTAGAAAGACAGAAATGATAACATTTAAAAAAAATACTGATTGTGTATAATTGATTTGTAACAAGTAAACTCAAATAAATTAAAATATTGTTACCAAAGAATACATTATGTCGGGAAATAGAATCAGATATAAAAAATAAAGAGTAACAATTGAAAAGAGCTGGAAAAGATTGCCTAGGACAAGATTTGTTGAAGAGTGCTGATAGGTGAATCATGCTCCTTCATAAGGAGTAACAGGCGTCAGTAAGTATGCATTTTTTCAATATTATAAAACGTATTTGATCTTTACTTTTTTTAAAAAGTATGCATTAGAAAAACAATGTAAAATGAATACATGTAATATCAAAATATTAAAGATTAAAACATAAAACAGGATATATAAACAAATGAAACTAAAAATTAATTTTTCAATAATATTTCAATATTTAATTCAATTCATCGTTTCATTATCATTTTGTTTAACATAATACAGTGAAATTATTTGTTATACCAGAAAAGTGTTTTTTTCGACCAAATATATTTTTAGATGTACCATAATGTTTTATTCTATAAGTACCAGAAATACATATACCATCGATGGAACTAATTGTCCATTGTATAATAGCATAACTTCGACCAAGTAACCATGATAAAAATCCATCTCGATTCCAAATAAATCTGAAAATAATAATATTTTAGAAATAAAAAAATTTTTGATAAATTTATTAAGATATAAGTCAGTGGTTGAATAGAACTTAAAATAAATAGTAGTGTATTAAAACTATAATATTAAAATAGCTTCTTGAATGGAAATAACATGAGCTTAAGATATTTAGTCATTTATCGGAGAGCACAAGTGGGGAGGACAATTGAATTTAGTTGACATGAAATTATAGAGCATCTCAATCAAATTTGAGAACCATACAGTAAATAGTTAATTTGCAAAATATCAATCCATCGTCTAAGAATTGACTGTTCCTTCTGCAAATATCAGTCTCAGATTTCATTGTTCATGTATTTTCATGCCAATTGCGTTCCGTTCCCGTTCTTTCCATCTCGATCTTCTACTGAAATGCATTCTATGCCTGAGACCGTTACATACCACTTGTGTGGATATAAGTATCCCACACCACACTATTATTATTATTATCAATTTTTGTTAAAAAAAGAAAAAAATTCAATGAGGCAGTTAATTATATTTTATCATATGAATTATTAAAATTTTTCGATAGCTTCATATTCGAAAAATAAATAAATCAGAAGGGGTTTTGTGGAGATTTCAGTAATTTCAATTGATGAGATCATGAGTCAATTGAAACTAGACCACCATAGAAAACGTGGATACACTGGACGATCGTTTCGTCCTACTGTGGAACTCCTTAGCAGCGCGCATCCACCACCCCAGGACCTATCAGTCTCGCACGCGAGCACTTAACTACTAGATCCAACTGTGTTAATGTCTAACTTCAACTAATCCACGAAATTGAGTGACACGTTCACCATTGTCATCAGTAAGTTACTATCTCATAACTGACCCAGTTGAACTCCACTGGTCACGGGTCATGGATGTGCATTGTTGAGTCCCACGATAGGACAAAACGGTCGTCCAGTGCTTCCAGATTCTCCATGGTGGTCTAGCTTCAATTGACTCATGATCTCAACAATTGAATTAAATAAATAATATAAGAAAGTAATACATGAAAATGGGAGATAAATATTGTACTGAATTTATTTCCTTTATTGAATTACAGTTATCTCTTAAATCTGACCTATAAATTCAATATTCCAATGTTAATAGATAATATAAAATAATGTAAAATATTGTGATACAAAGCAATACATCAATTTGAAATACTCAATTATATTGTATGAATAATGCGATTGATATAAAACATTTAATTTACTTATTGTATGTGTTATATTTTTTATTCTGTTGAAAGATCGATAAGAATAACTTTTGTTTTACCAAGATTTATTTCAATTGTTTGTCTGTTTTTTTTATATTGGCGTTTAAGCAGATTAAATGAATGTTACTGCTGAGTATATTATGATATGAAGTCATGCAATCATCAAATATTACTATTAACCACGTTGATGATTTAGGTGTACATTCTATAATACTAATTATTGGTTGAATATCCTTGAATACTTTTAGATAGAGGCTAGAAGTGGAATTCAGGACGCACGTTTCGTCATACTCAGAACTCGTCAGTTGGGTGTATCTGAGTCTCAGAGTTGATGTTTACTCTGGGACTCTAAACCAATACCGCTCGCTTCAAACATCATCACATCACTCACTTAGCTACTGAGTCCTTATAATCACCAGCTTGTGCAATGGGGTGAACTTTTAAAATCACTTGGTGTTGCTTACTTGTATCTTCTCACCAAGTGAATTTAAAATTTGACCCCATTGCACAAGCTGGTGACTATAAGGATTCATTAGCTAAGTGGATAACACAATGAGGTTTGAATCCAACGGTATTGGTTTTGAATCCCACAGTGAATATCAACTCTGAGACTCAGATACATCCAACTGACGAGTTCCGAATATGGCGAAACGCGCTTCCTGAATTCCATTGCTAACCACTATCGATCTTGTGACCTAAGGCAATATCGAGGCAGTTCACACATGATGCACATATGCCAACAAGGAACTGATCAATTGCAATCTTAAATAACAATAGTAAGATACAAGTAAATAATAACTAGTGAATTTATTTTTTTTGAATCATATTAAGTATGTATAGGTTTTTTACTACTATTAATATTAGTGTTAATGAAATTCTCGTGCTATTAATAACTGTAATTAAGTTTCATTATGTTGATGTTGTGGTACGATGCAATTATATTTTTACAAGGCATTGTTATGATTATTATTGACTAAGATTTCCATACTGTGTTTATTTTTTACAGCTGATGTATATAAATTTTGTACATCCCCCAAACGCCCTGGTACAGCCGAGAGTGGGGAGAGTCCGCTCTCCCTCTCGAAATACTCTCACATGGCCACGCGCATATAGCCTCTGCCAGGGAAGTCCTACTCACTGCCTTCTCGTGGCATTACTGTTGTTTACGAAAATAAGAGGACGAAAAGAGAATTTCCGGCGCTTCAACCGGATCCCAAATCAATTGTGCACATGGGCTCCAGTATTCTGAGTGAACAAATGGCGTATGAACCAATCGTTGGTCACCGGCTTCCATGGGACTGCATCTCTTTACGATGCTCTACTGCCTTTTGGATCAGACGTTCAGTTCAAAGGCTCGCGTTTTGGCCCCTAAGAAAACCACCTGCTTCGGTTTGGGCACCCGGGCAGTATCACAGCCCTCACACATATCAGTTGATATCTGTGTGGCGCATATGTATTTGGTGCCTCCTTGTACCAATACCTATGTGTTAAAATAAATAAATAATAATAAACATCTTATATTTATGGCAAAAGTTTAAATAAATCCGTCGTTGATATTACACATTGAATTTTGATCAGTTTTATTGGTATATACACACATTTTTGAGAATCAATTTAAGACAACCATGTCGCCACAACTACATGCATACAGCCGACAAGCCTTAAATAGAATGAAACACGTGCTCTGAATTCTATTGTAATCATTGTTAACTTTTTTTTAAATAACTTATTTTTTCAGTTATAATTTATCCATTAGAAAAAAGAAAAACATGTCTTGATAAATCAGAACACAACTATACACCTTAACTGTTTGTTTACTGATTAAAATCTAAAGTTAAATTCTATCCAGATCAATACCTAAGTTGATATGTCGTCACTATCATTAATCGATTGAGTCATTACTCACTATATCATGGTTGAATTGATGAAGAAAGTACAGTGGGCTGTCTGTTTAATGTAGTAACAAATATAACCCACACTCATTTTTTTCACAAAATACACTCTAAGCGATGCTATAAATGACATGATATTCAAACTAATATGTTTTATCACAATGAGGGTTTGTAGAGATTGTAGTCATTTTAATGATTGAATTCATGAGTCGATTTAAGCTAGACCACCAATGAAGCATTGTACAGCCGTTTATTCCTAGTGTGGAACTCTCCAGAAGTTCACAACCACGATCGTACACACAAGATTCGAATCTAGGATATTCATTCTCGTGTAGGAATGCTTCACTCCTATTCCACGTAACCGGCATCCAACGGTGTTAATGTCTAAATTCAATTAATCCACAATGTAATTCAGTATAGGATTTCTTTAGTTACACTTTACTTATAAAATATTAGAAGTATTTTAACTGCGTAAACAGTTTAAAAATCGAAATATCAATTGTTTGCATCACTAAATCGACGTAATAGTTAGTGTAGGTATCAATATCAAGGTTGGATTTGATGTTCTAAGAAATTGAGCAATGAGTAGAGTTAATAATAAATGTATTTTTTGTTATATCTCAATGAGTAGAAACGCCAGAAATATATTCATTAGTAGTTGGTAGTTATTGTTGCAGTAATAATAGTAATAGTAAAATGACTATAATAAAACTTACAAACTCAATAGAGTCCAACTGTTCATGAATAGTGAATGGATAAATTTATCCACTGAAAGGAAAGAACACTTTGATCTAGAAGTGTTTTTAACTGCTAACTAACTTTACAAAACTAATCAGTTGAGAGGTAATCATCAACTGATACATGCAATATTGTTTTGTCTACAATCATGTATACTCAGAAAAATATGTTAAGGCTGGATAACTACTAATGTGTGCTCAATCTTTTTATTTCATTTTTAGTTATGCCGCTTCTAACGTCAAAATACTAACTATCGACAAATACGTTCAGCTTCATTGATAAAACTGAGTGGATATTTATAAAACGGCTAAGCTTGAATGCTACTACTGATTCGTCTCACTCGAAACGGAACGAAGGATCAAGGATTCAGAGACTCGGTAGGCTATTCTGGTCCGTTGTCCCCGACTCAGCTAACTCGATCAAGAAGTCTTGGTAAGACGTAGAAAGTGTATCCTACAGGCAACCAGCAGATACCAGGTCAACCAGGCACACAAATCAAGCGTATTTATACAAATATATATAATCGATATTGTCATATAAATTTTTAAACATTCATCAATAAGTTCGTCAATCGACTGCCATTTAAATATTTAAAAATTTAATCGATAAGATAAAATTACAAATTGTGAGTTTTGGGGGATCTATCGTCCCCAACACATTTCATAACAAATACATGGTGGATTAGAGAGAGCGTGTTTTTAAACCAATACAAAATAAAAGATTTTTGTACACGTTGATCACAGTCATTTCTTATCAACAACGGGGTTTTCTTATTGAGAGCGAAGGCAATTTCTTAGTAAGCATATATCGCATAGGGATCGACCCACTATATTTCGTGACTAACGTATAGGAGAACTGAATGTCACAGCAATTTTGGTTTAATAAGTCAATGAAAATTACAAAAAGGGGTATATAAGATTTTTTAATATAAATTTTTCTAAATAATAGTTTGTTGGATAATCTGTAAAGTCCTCAATAATAGAGTAATGGAGGTTAGTGAATTTCATTGATACCAAGAACTAATCTAAGTAAGAAAACCATTGAAAATCTAGAAGCATTGGACGGTCGTTTAGTTCTAGAATATGACTTTGCGGTCAGTCTAGTTCAACCGTTTCGAATGTGAGGCAGTTACCCACGAAAA